ATCTCCTGTTCTATTTCTCACATTTTCCACATTTCACCAACACATCTGTGACAAAATATAAGGGTCTGGTTCTTTTAGAAGAAGACAGACTTGAGTTGCAAAAGTGTATTGTAAAGCCTAAAATCCCGTGTGCTGCCTTGACATCTTTAAGCCTCACAGGGCTCCAAACACATTATTTGTGAGTTCTTCTGCTCTCACTGGATATGACCCCCACCCTGCAGGAAGAGCTCCCTGACACTCAACTAATTTCCCTATCATCCATGCCATCTGAACTCTACCTAGTCCTCAATCTAACAGGCTTCACCTTCCTGTCAGCCTGGAAAACTATTCAAACAATCCAATCACATACTTCCACAGGAAACAGTGCACCTCATCCTCTTGTAACTAAAAATCCCACTTCCCACAGCACCTCTTGGCTCATTCTGCTCCCAAGTGCAACTCCCACGTGGTCCTGCATGGTTTGTGGTGTCCTCCTCCCCCAGAAGGTGAGTAGATGCAATTAATAAAGTGCTGCCAGTTTCACATGTCCAGGGCTGCACGCTGAGTGTCTGGTCATCTGATTCTATTTAGGGTAGGGAAACCCTCATCAGCAAGATGAATCGGAGGCAACCAGAACAGAAGGGCAGATGAGATGGTTGGTCCAACCTTAATATCAATATAACTCACCTTGCTGATATAATTCCTTTCTTCTGGCTGAAAAGGAATAACAACCTATGAGATGCCAAGTACACAACATGAAGATGTAAAAACATATACCAAGCAAGGCTATTCCAACCGAGGTCCCAAATATGCCCTCCTTACTCTTGTCTGTCCTGTCCCCAAAATGAGCAAAGATGACCTGTGATAGACATTGTTTCCACCTGCTCTTGTCTGAAGAAGGGGTTCTTCATGGAGCAGGCTGCATGTCACAATGAGCAAAGCCTCTTTCTGAAACAACCATTAGCTTGGTGTCTTCTCTCCCCTTGCACCTTCCCATTGTACCTCAGGCTGCAGAAACCACCCCTTGCCTAAGAAAGTCAGTCTTACTCCTTTATCTTCCAGACCCACCATGAAAACATGAGGACCAGAACCCAAACCTGGAGAGGAGAAAGTCATTCATCTGAGACCTGGATACTTTTGGTCTAGAAGT